CTTTTCTAAGATGCTCATAGCATGTACGACTTCCTTTCCATCAATTCTTTTCCTTGGGTGCTAACCTTTATAGTGTTTATTTAAATTACATTATTCAACCAATCACTAAGGTTCCCATTCAAATCTCCAAAATACACTTTCCAGCATTCCCTCGCTTCAATTCCTTCCCAAATCACATCATCATCTTTACTAATGCCATCCAATCTACTGAGGGGCCCCTTGTTTAGCCTTTTTCACACACTGCCAAAACCATCTGCAAATGATAAACCAGAGTATTTACATAAATATGAACACACAATCATCATCTCAGTACAATTGACACAGAGGGACCAAAACCCTGGTTGGCGTGGAGGGAGATTCCTGAAGATAAGAGTGAAAAGCCAGGTGTAATGGAAAGCATGTGCGAGGAGGATACTGGAATGGAGGATCAAGGTTATCAGGAGGGAGGGAGGGCACAGGGCAAGCACTTTCTCAGCCTGCAACAAGACCATGAGAAGAAGAAGAGGCTTAGACTAGTCCCTCCCTAGAGTCTCACGGGGTGTATCCACTAGTTGCTTTAGGACAGATTTAGTCTGGCGAGATTCTGTCTTTAGGGTGTAAGCTAATAAAGGAATTATACTGGACTGGACTGCCTCATTGTTGTTCTTGGGCTGGGCCTGACACCAGCTCTTCATCTGACTCTGAAAGGCAGATAACGTCAGCCACTGAACTGGTATCCCAAGGTGCCATTATAAAGACTTCACCCCCAAATGGCACGCCTCTCCATGCCAATCCTAACTTTTTCGAGGCTGGTCATAAGGCGATAACTTGCATATCAGGGTCCCGAACTCTTAAGCCCTTCAGCGTCATTACTGAAACTTTGGTATCCGACCGATAACGTATCAGTGATCAGTGCAATTCTTTACGGACCAGTGTTCTGCAAAGATTTAAAAAAACTACAGAAACATAGAAAGTGGATTACAACCTGTTCACTAACACTGTAAGCGCTACACCACGTTGCTTTTTTAAAATGGATGTTTAATTCACATCGTCTTAACATTCAGGGATTAAAATGTCTTGGCCTCAACAGTGTCAAATTCTGCCTTCTGGTGTGACCTTTTTTTTAATGAATATTTTTTTATTAAGAGAAAATTTTACAATGATTTAAAAAACTACAGAAACATAGAAGAAGAAATAGGGGGAAAAACAGATTGTAAAAGGGTAAAAGAAAAAGTGAAGAATAACCAAAACGCAAGGAAAAGGAAGATATGTTAAAAAGCAATTTCTCATCTTCTTTCTCCACCCATCCATATGGCATTATCATAGTTCCCTTCTTCCCATAAACAAAGCTTTTTAATCAATACTTCCTGAAATCAGCCATTCATTTTTATCCCTTTTCAGCAAAAAGTCTACAAAGGGTTCCCAGCCTTTCAGAAATGTAACTGTAGTTCCCTCCTTCATCAAGCAATTTCTGGTGGGACTTTTTAGCATTAACATCCCTTCTGGGGTTAAGGAATTTATTAAACTTGGTTTACCCATTAGGGTGCCAGTATAGCTTCATCCTGCTGAAATCCAAATGGGCTCTTCTAACTCAGATGACTCTTTCAACTCAGATGACTCTTTCTTTTTTGATTCTGTCGGGTGATCAGCTGTCTCCCAAACTCAGGGGGGATTAATTCAAGGCAGGGGATGTGTGCAAATTAGAGACCCCCTTTGATTCTTGGCAAAGCGATTCGTCTTTTAACAGCTTGCCCCTGAAGAAATGGGTGTTTTGCAAACTATCAGAATGCCCAGAGCAGCTGTTTAGTGAACGTGCCCCTAAAAAACTCTCTCGAACCCCAAAAGCTGAGCGCCTCTTTTGCACATGGATTATGAAATGACTCTTTAGAACAGTGTTTTTCAACCTTGGGCACTTTCAGATGTGTGGACTTCAACTCCCAGAATTCCCCAGCCAGCCTT